CACCATTATTTAGTGTTCAGAGATGGGTCAGGTGATGTTTAAGTTACTCAGAGGAAAAACTTATGAAGCTAACAGAATTATAGACAAAGTAACTGAGAATCTGAGGTTATGTTCAGGGTTTAAAATCTCCATCTTCCTTTGTAAATATGTATTTTTAAAATAGCCATAAAGGAATGTAATCAACTTCTTACTGTTGGCTGCTTGGTTACTGTTAAGTTAGGGCATATATAAAAGTATATCTTGTGACAGTGACCTTATAGTTGACTTTAAATTTATGTTTGATTGTAGCCACAAAGCTGGGCAACAAATAACTTATAATCTTCTGGCTTATTTCAACAAGTTTTGAGTGAACCAATGCAAAAGCCTAACAGCACATCTGATACTACAGGCTTCAGTGAAAAATAAGGAAAAATAAGGGGAAATAATCATATTTGGTTCTTCTTTGGGTATTTGCTTCAAAAACACTAATTTAAGAATTAAGTCTGCAATCTGTATGCAATTATATCTTGTGGATACAGCAGATTATTATTTAAGAATGTTTTTTCCTTACTGGACAAAAATAGATAAAGCCTGGTTTTCATTAATCTCCCATTTAGTACCATTATATAAATATATTTCAGTTTTACAAAGTGATAATTCACAGCTACAACTTTAGAGTAAGTAACCCTAAGGTAACCCTGCAAACATGGCAGGATTGTATGAGCACAGTGACTGAAATGATACTTTACCTTCAAATACAAATAAATTTAAGTAACAGAACAATATCATCAATGAGAAAATGATGGTTCTGGCACATTTTAGTGTTCAAAATATCAAAATATTTTTTTCTGCAAAATTGGATTATGGAATGTATTAAATCTGAAAACATGGTTATGGTACATTGCACATTTCCAGGCTCAAAACAGATGCCCAGTAAACTCTGACAACCAAATCTGTCACTACCATCATCAATATTATCATCATCACCACCATCATAACCACCAAGAAGAAGCATGAGGCCTTTGGAGAAAAACCCAGGCTTTGAAGCTGGACAAATCTAGCTATGAGACATCATGACTCTGTGTCCTTTTAGCTGGGTGGTCTCTGCCCACTGATATGGATTGGCTCTGTGTCCCCACCCAAATCTCATCTTGAATTATACTCGCATAATTCCCACATATTGTAGGAGGGACCCCCCATAGGAGATAATTTGAATCATGGGGGCAGTTTCCCCCATATTGTTCTTGTGGTAGTGAATAAGTCTCATGATATCTGATGGCTTTATCAGGGGGTTCTGCTTTTGCATCTTCCTCATTTTCTCTTGCTGTTGCCATGTAAGAAGTTCCTTTTACCTCCCGCCATGATTCTGAAGCCTCCCCAGCCATGTGGAAATGTAAGTCCATTTAAATCTATTTTTCTTCCCAGTCTTGGGTATGTCTTCATCAGCAGTATGAAAACAGACACACACACCCACGTAAGGTATGGCTGAACACCTATGGGGCACCAGGAATGTCAGATTCCATCATAATTAAGAAAACAACTCCTGGGTTATAATAGTAGTTACTGCAATGGCTGAAAGACAGAATGCCCTGCGACTAGACAGATGTAGGTTGCAAACCTGGCTCCATTGTTTAGGAGAAGTGGGCTTGGGACAAGTTCCCCAACTTCTTCCTAGCCTTAGTTTCTATATTTACAAACTCATTAACTTTGAGTTCCACCAAAAGAACGCCCTGGAGAAGTATGGGGTACAGGGAGTTCATGTAGGAGGTGATCTCAAGAGGCCCAAGGGAAGAAGTGACATGTGAAAAGAAGGAAAAAAATGTGAAAAGTACATAGATGAGTCGGTTCCTGCTATGGACAGGTGGGGCTCAATCTTGTCAAGCACTCTCTGAGAAACCACAAGGAACACACCTCAGAATCACTCACTAGAAGGGAGGGGGCTATGATATTTTTCTACTTACTTCTATCCACTGTTACTTAAGGGATGTTCTCTAAGGTGTCAAACCCTCTTGACACTTTCAGTTTGCCTCTATATACAATAAAGCAAACTCTTGGGATGCCAGAAGAAGCCCTCAGGCAGACTTTAAGAAGGAAGAGAAGGAGGAAAGGCAGCAATGGCAAAGAAGACAATGGCAGGACCTTGCAGTGGCAACCAATCAGCATACCAAAAACTGCACACTGTAAAGCTACAGGGAATATGAGGCAGTTAGAATGGAAGTGGAAAGGACATCAACAGCATCTGCTACATTCAGGACAATACTATTCACCTTTACAGGAGACTGTGAGGATCAAAGATAAGGGATTTTAAAGTGTCTGGTCCATGACAGGGACTCAACAAATGGGAGCAATGGTGGCAAATATGCCCTAGAAGAGGAGGCTAGGCACTACCAAACAGAAGAACCTGCCAGTAACCCAGGCTGGCCAACCCAGTGTTCCTCCTCTCCTCTAAGTGTATGCCTCCAGGTGTGTGCAGGTGAGCTGCTCAACACAGACTGCTTACACTGTTGCTAAATTACTGGTATGATTTTTGCTTGCACTGTTGCAAAATTGTTGGTATGATTTTAGAGTAGGTTTTTGTTGAATTTGCAGAGCAATAAGATAAACCCAGCCTGTGTCATTGAGCTGCCATGTTCAAGTGCCCATGATGCCTTCCATGGGCGTGAGACACTTTGGTTTCATGGGTCTCTTCCTCCAGTAAAAAAACAAATTACAAAATATATTATATGATCACATTGGTAGAAAGACAAATAAATTAGTATTATAAATGTATAATACTTGTATAAACTTTTATACATAAAAATGTATAAACTTTTTATTGGGCCTAAAAGGACATCCTTCTTTCTTCTGCGTTTAAAAGAAATAAAAACATTTTCACGGGCCCTTGAAGTACTATCAGTCGCAGGCACTGTGCCCTTCTGTGCCTAATAAGTGAGTCACCTCACCTCACATATACCATTTAATTCTTATAGGGACCATGCAAATGTGGTTTCTTATCCCCATTTTTCAGGTGAGGGACTGAGGCTGAGAAAGATGAAATGACCCATCCAAATTCACACAGCCAATGGCAGAGCCCTGGATTATTATTTGCACTCTGAATTGCTCCAGTGGTCATATGGAACAAGTGTCCGTGCTAATGATGCTTGCTGCACTTGACAAAATCTGAAACATCATAAATATGTGTAAATATATGCACACAGAAACCTATATTATATACACACACAGAGAGAAATGTCTTATTTTGTAAACAGATTTATGAAGGTGTAGTTTATGTATGATATAATTCACACATTTAAAGTATAAAATTCAGAGGTTTTTAGTACATTTACAGGGTTGTACCACCATTATCACACTTAATTTTAGAATATTTCATCACCACACAAAGAAATACCATCTATGTCCGTTAGCAGTCATTCCCCATCCCCTCCTCCAACCTCTCCCCAGGCCCTGGCAACCACTATTCTACTTTCTGTCTCTATGGATTTGCCTGTCCTGGACATTTCCTATAAATGGGATCACAGAATATGTGGTCTTTTGTGTCTGGCTTCTTTCACTTAGTATAATGTTTTCAAAGCTCATCTATGTTGTAGCATATACCAGTACTCCATTTTTATTGCCATATTATATTCCATATTATGGATGTACCATATTTTATTTATCCATTCACGAGTGAGTCAACAGACACTTGAGTTGTTTCTATTATTTGTCTATTATAGGTATGGCTACCATAAACATTTGTGTGCAATGTTTGGGTTTTAATTCTAAATATGCATTAGTTTTCATCAGATTGTTTTCATATAATATTGTGGCATACAGAGGAAAGAGCTCTACAGCTAGGGCTCTAAAACATAACTCTTCTAACTATTGAAGGGAACAATTACAAATAACCCATAATAAAAGACACTTTACAAGAGAATATAAGACCTTGTGGGGAGTGAAATGCACCTTTAAAAAAAACGGCAAGAAGCTAGGGCATAATGTGCTTGCTAAAATAGAGTGTAAATACATTTGTGAACACAACAATGGGAAAAAGTTATCCAGCATTCTTTTCCCTTGACTTAGTGCATGATGAGGAACAAACAGAATTACTCCCATTAGGGTAAAAGATGTAGTTGCTAAAGCTTATCTTTCCAAAGAATGAATCACTAGTTGGGATCTAGCGAAGATCTAATGATTTATATGTCCCTGCCTAACATTCACTCCACAGCTGAGAGAAAAAAAAAGCTTCTTAAAACCATCCAAAGGAAGTGCACAATGACTTTTGTCAATTTGCACCAACAAGCAGTAAATCCCCTCTTTACAATAGCCGGTCTTACTTCTTGCCCTTCCGTTTCCACTTACAAGTTTTTCATTCTTCAAGGCTTCTTACTCCATCAAGTTTCCCTGAAGTTCCCCCAAGTTATAACCATCCTTTCTTTCACCCCATATTACTGAGTGCTCAGGAGCACCAGATGACATACAGTGACAACTGAGTGACTGTAATGTGCAAAGCATAGTGGGTGATACACCCTGGGGATGGAAAAGTACACAAAAAAATTCCCTCAAAGAACTTACCCTGTTTTGGAAAAGATGGAGACTAATCAACCAATCAAATAAATTTTAAAAACATTTAATATACAGAGATACACACACATTCTTGGTTGTAAGTAATAAAAATTCACTTCAAACTAGCTCAATCGTCCTAGTGTGATCACTGATAATGTGATAATGTGATCTCAATCTCACAGACATGTATAGCTAGATTCAGGAAGAAGTGAAAATCATCATAATTCCACATGTCTGTTAGCCTGCACGTAGCTGAACATAAAGCTGAAATGCACATTTTATGTGAGCAACAACTTCTCTCTTGTCAAATACTGTACACCCAACTGCTACCTTCTGGCACATTGCAGATGTCCAAACTGACTAAGGTCTTCCAATGTCAATTCTAAATTTCAGAAGAGAAAAGCCAGGTTGTCATTTGGGTCAGGTATCCACTTCTTACCTATTTTTTTTCCTTTCTTTTTTTTTTTTCCAATAGAAACCAGGGGAGAGTATGAACGCAGTCCCCCACTACCATGAATTATGCAGTCGAGTTTCCCACATTTGGGGAAATTGCAGTCGTCAGCACATCTGGAGTGCAATGGATAAGCCTCGCCCTGGGAAACCACCTTCGTGATCATGGTATCTCCCCTACCAGGTAAGTATCCACTTCTTATCTAAACAGCTGTCACTTGAGATGGGAGATACTATAAATGGAATGTTTGTGTATCCCTCAAATCTACATGTTAAAACCTAATCCTCAATGTGGTGGTATTTTGGGGTGGAGCCTTTGGAAGTCCCTAGACAGTTCATTTGCCCATTTTGCCATGTGAGGGCACAGCAAGAAGACAGCTGTCCATCTATGAACTAGGAAGTAGACCCTCACCAGATCTCAACCATGCTGACATCCTGATCTTGGACATCCAGCCTCCAGAACCATAATAAATAAATTTCTATTGTTTATAAGCCACCCAGTCTACAGGCATTTGCTCTATAGCAACCTGATCTGACTAAGATGGAAAGAACAGTTCTGATAGAGGAGAGGTCTACAATAACTCAGCATCCATAGTGATGCAACTCCAGGGTTCTTCAGTAAGTGACATTATGATCCAGCGGGTCCTTAAACATTCTCACTCACTCCCCTTGGATCCATAATAGGTTATTAGAATTCTGGTTAAGAATTAAGAAAGAGGTAGAGAGCCAAAATGTCGACTCAAATCAAGTTATCACTCCTTGTTTATGTACCAACCAACCAAGCCTACTAGCTGTAAACTTAGAATAAGGAAAGAACGTGGTTTAAACACTAAAGTTTCCATTATCCAAAATGCCCATAATTTCTTGAAATTAAATGGTTTATTTGGATTGGAAAAATCAGTGATCACTGTCTGCAGTAGATAGCTTCAGAAGCCAACAATATGATATTATCTTCTCTGGGAGCTTCCATCTACTAATCTACACATTGCATCCCTATTCCAGATGTTGGCTCCCAGCAGCCATGTTTTTTCCATTACATCTGACCAAACTGGAGCTTTAAACTGACCCAAGCAGGGTCAATCACATTCTTGCATCGGGGAATTGAGACTGCAAGGCTGAAGAACTGTTAGCAGGTTCTGTGAGGAGCAGGGCTCATTTGATATAACCTCCGAAGATAAGCTACCTGTTGGCCACCAAGGAAACTGAGAATCTGAGAAGGACGGTGAACAGAGAAAGATGAATAAAGGAAATGCACGGTAATGAGAGATTCTGGAATAATGCATGTATAATTGTAACAGTAGGTTTCAGCCTTCTCTGAGATATGGTTCCATCCCTGCTTTTGATATCCACAGACATTCTTACGTACTTTCACAAAATGTCCTTTAGCTAGTTCAATCAGTTTAGATTACTAGTGACCAGAGCCCTATCTAATAAAATTCTGGGAAGGTCTGACACAGCTTTTTAACAGTAAATGATAAACGACAAATGTGGAGGTTTCTCATAGCATTTCTTCCTTGGAATTCCCTGTCTATAATTCAACTATAAAGCTTTTGAGCATCCGTCCCATAATACTTCTGGCCATGTAGTTTGTGACCAGGATGTCATTCTCTGGAAAAGAGAAAATAGAATCATACACATAGGAAGATTCAATGGTTGGTGCTGTTTGATAGCTTTGGGCCAAATCCTCACTGTATTCACTCTCTATCCCTTACCCAGAAGTTCCTGGGAGAGTTACATGCACAAAGAAAAATAGCAAAACAGATTTACTTTAGCTGGGCCTTTTCCTAATAACCCCGGATGAAGCCAAGAACCCTTGGGATGAACCAGGAAGGGTTTTGGTCTGCAGATCGTCATGGCACCACATCTAGGGATCCCAGAACACTGACACATATGGTCCATGTGCAAGCACCACCCACTTCCCTATATAGCAAATTCAGTAGACAGGACCTTTTCCATGGCCACCTAGCCACCTCCACCCCAACCCTATCCACAGGATCTGCTGGGCAGACATGTGGCACACAAGCAGGATCACACCCCTATGCCTCTCAGAAACTCTTACTCTAGCTTTCTCCCCCAATGGTTGAGAAAGGGATTGTTTCAGTGCAGTCCCTGTATATTAGTCTTTTTTCACATTGCTATAAAGAACTACCTGAGACTGGGTAATCTATAAAGAAAAGAGGTTTAATTAGCTCACAGTTCCACAGGCCATACAGGAAGCATGGCTGGGGAGGCCTCAGGAATCTTGCAATCATGGAGGAAGGCAAAGAGGAAGGAGGCACATCCTACATGGCTAAAGCAGGAGAGAGAGGACCAAGGAGGAATTGCTACACACTTTAAAACAACCAGATCTCATGAGAACTCACTCACTATCATGAGAATAGCAAGGGGGAAATCCACCCCCATGATCCAATCGCCTCCCACCAGGCCCTTCCTCCAACATTGGAGATTAACAATTCAACATGAGATTTGGGTGTGGACACAGAACTAAACCATATCACTCTGAAACACAGAATGATTGTTAAAACCTTTATGAGTCAAGGACACCAAAGCCAATAACACAACTCATGAGTGACAAGTGTAGCACATGTATTCTCAACCACACAATATCGCCACCGATGAGGTGAAAATCGATTCTTGGGAGAGGTGAAGAAAACATATTATTTTTATGTATAAAGCACAGAAATACACCACACAAATAGGTAAATAGGATATCTGTGCTATTTAAATTTCATGGGTGTGGGCTGGGGACATTAGACAAAAAATGTTTTAAAAAGCTTCCTTGAGGGGGCAATGATGAAAACAAAAGTGGAGACATGTTAGAGCCTATAGCGGATGCTGTGGTGCTGCCACAGACTCTTACTGCTGGGGAACCCATTCCCAGTTGCTAAGAACTCCTAGCTTACTTCTTCTCCCAAGAATTGGCCTTTGCAAAAAGGGACCCACCTTTCTTATGGAGGCTATTCTCCTAATTTCTCCTTTTTTTCTCTTTACTTCATGCTATGTTCCATTTCCCAAAATGTCAAACAAGTCCATGCACTTTTTCATTCTGCACCTTTCTCAGGCCTTTCTGACCTTCCCATAAATGTTGTTTTGCAAACTGAACCTTCTCTTTGCATTCTCCTGACCCTTTTCCAAGCACCACTTCCATCCAAATACTTTCCATTAACATCTATGCCTGTTCCCCTACTACTCTTGCAAGCATTCTGAGGGATAGAACATTGCCTCATTCTTTTTTCTACTCCCAGGACCTGGCATTATTCCTAACAGGAATGAGTGTTCAATAATTGTTGGGTCAATCAAAGTAAATTACAGAATATCTTTGCAAGTTCCTTAGGCAGGTGTACCCTGTGAGAGCTGAGAAGGCCACAGAACAACTCCCAGTTATTTCGAATTTGATCCACCCATTGAAAAGACCCAGTTCTACTTATTTCTGTACTCCCATGAGCACCCACAGACAGGAAAACAAAACACCTAAAACATCTTGTCTACACTGTAGTCCAATTGTTATAAATAGGGCACTAAAAAAATAAGCCAAATATTTTGAGAAAATACATCAGTACTGAAATAGCTATACTTAAACTCAAGTGCTGAACATAAATAAAATGAAAACAATGCTGAGTTTATCTTACAGAGTATCTACAGTTTACAGAGCTGTTTTACCTACACTGTCTCTTTTGAGGCTCAAGCAGCCTAGATAACACTTAATTTTAAAGAGGATACAACTATGTTAACAATTTAAAGTGGCTCCTCTGTCAAGGTCACAGAGTAATGTATGGAGAACAGAATTCAAACTCAACTGTTCTGCTACAGCTTGGGTATAGTTTGTTTATCCCCACCAAATCTCATGTTGAAATTTGGTCCACAGGGTAGAAGTGTTAGAGGAGACGCCTGGAGAGAGGTGCTTGGGTCATTGGGGAAGATTCCTCATGAATGGCTTGGTGCTGTTCTCACTCTAGTGACAGCAGATTAGTTCTCAAGGGAATAGATTAGTTCTGGCAAAAATGGTTAGTATGCCCTGGGTTTGGCCCCTTTTTACATGTGCCAGATTCTCCTTAGACCCTCTCTACCATGTTTTGGCACAGCACAAAAGTCCTTGCCAGTAGCCAAGAGATGCCAGTGACATGCTTCTTGTACAGCCTGCAGAACTATAAGCCAAATAAAACTCTTTTTTTTCCTTTTATTTTTATTTTTTTTCTCAGAGACAGAGTCTTGCTCTGTCGCCCAGGCTGGAGTGCAGTGGTACAATCTTGGCTCACTGCAACCTCTGCATCCCAGGTTCAAGCAACTCTTCTGTTCCAGACTCAGGTGCCCAACACCACACCCGGCTAAATTTTTTTATACTTTTAGTAGAGACGGGGTTTTACCATGTTGGCCAGGCTGGTTTTGAACTCCTGATCTCAAGTGATCCACCCACCTCAGCCTCCCAAAGTGCTAGGATTACAGGCATGAGCCACTGTGCCAGGCCAACCCGTTTTCTTAATAAACTACGAAGCCTCAGGCATTCCTTCATAGCAACACAAAACAGATTAACACACTTTCTATGTCTAGCCTAGTAGTTCTCAGCTAGGCACAATTTTGCCACCCAAGGGATGTTTGGCAATATTTGGAGACATTTTTTGGTTGTTATAACTGGAGGGTTACTACTGGAATCTAGTGGTAGAGACCAGAGATACTGCTAAACATTCCGCAATACAAAGGAGCTTCCCACAACCAAAAACTACCTGGTCTAGAATGTCAATACTGCCAGTGTTGAGAAACCCTGGTGTTATTCAATGTCTGAGCCATCACGCAAAATTCCTTTGAGTAGACAGTATGGCTGTTAAATGGGTGTGGAGATATAAAAACTTTGGCTACAGAGTTGTGCTTCCCAATATAAGAGCCATGAGCTACATGCAGCTATTGAGCACATGAAATGTGTCTAATCCATGTGGAGATGTGATGTAGGTGTAAAATACATTCTGGATTTTGAAGACAGTATAAAATAAAGAATACCAATATATCATTGATATTTTTATATTGACTACATGTTGATATAATGTTTTGGATTTACTGAATTAAATAAAATATATAATTAACATTAATTTCTCCTATTTTTTAAATGTGGCTACTAGAAAATTTGAATTTCCAGATGTGGCTTGTATTTGTAGCTTACATTGTATTTCTATGACCATTGGTGCTATAGAGATTGCTGC